TAAGTTAGCGTTTAAATCAAGTGTTTCTGCATTCATATTTCCAGTAATTTTCGGACTGTCACGGTGAACCCTAACTCTAAGGAACACCTCATCTATGTCTGCCTTGATCGCTAAAAATAGAGCAGTATCTTCATCATTCAAAATGAGGATAGGTGCTGCTTTACGCCAATCAGGTCCCAGGATCCATCTCGGCCAAACGTATGTCACCTCGACCTTGTCTTCCTCCACCAGTTTCAAACCGATTTTGATTACATTTGTCATCGATTAGAAAGACTCTCTCTCGTTCATTTCGACCGATGCGTGTATGCCGATTTCGTCTGGTTCATGGATCCAACTCGCATCACTTTGTTTTTTCCACACCCCTCGAATTACGGAGACATGTAGAGTCATCGCACCTAATTATGTGAACAGAAAAGGTGATGATTAGATAACTGAGATATCGAGATTTGACGATACTTTTGACATTATACATAACCTGGTTATATGTAAGTTCGAAAAAACAGGGATAACTAAGGAAAAATACAGAGAAGTTACCAGCTGTAATCGGAAATCCAAGACCTTCCACCCTTATTCAATGTCCTCCAGAACCTGTTACAGAAGAAAACGAGGTTGCTCTGTAATAAATGAAGTAAAGAGTTGTGTTTCACTTTCATTAACGCCGATGCTTTAAATAGAGGTCTAACTAATATTAAAATAATTGTTATCGATTAAACGTCACTATTAGAGACATTAGCGGCCATGCAATAATTAGATATTGGGAAGAGAAGAAATCCTTGTGTCAGGCGGCGGATTTTCTCCAAATAAACCTGCAGAATCAGAACATTAAATGCTATGTCGGGTAAGTATAGCCTCCCAAAATATCGCTGGCCTTTTTGAGTAGGGGCAAATCGGGGAACGAAAAATTTTGTCCACAATCTCTTCCCAATTTATTTTTATAGTTACGTACAAACCTAATTATCTCCTCAATTGTTAGTTTATACCCAAGTCACCCAAAAAAAAAACCCTAATTCATCTTCTTCTCTCTCTCTTTCTCCTGCGCCGTTTTTTTTTCTCCCATGGAGCTGCTCTTCTTCATAACTTGGCAGCCTCCCTTTTTTCACAGCTTTCTCTTCACAGCTTTCCTTTTGTTTCACAGATCCACACAGTTCTTGCCTCAATCGCCGTTCAGAAACTTGTTCAGGTTTGTTTTTTTTCTTATATATCCTCATTTTTCTTATTTTTTCTTCTTTCTTCTTCGTCTTCCTCTTTCCCTTCATCTTCTACTTTCTGTTTGGCGGAGGAGGAGTTTTACTGTTGGTGTTAGAGATTTCGGAAATATTGGCACGACTCTTAAGCGGCGTTCTCGCCGCATCGCGCACAACCGCACTGGACAGATGTTGTTTCGAAGAAATGGTGGTGTCACGGAGGTTGACGGCGGTGTAAGTTTTTTTCTGTAAAACCCGCAACCCTAATTTTTTTTGTTTCAGGTAAGTTTGGTAGATATATTTGGAAAACGATAAGTAGTTTGGTAGATTTATTGTATTTTTTTGTTGTAAAGTTCATAATATGTGAAAATTAGTTTTTTTTAACAAAGGCAAAAAGAGTGTTTTGGGTATGCTAGGTTAGTTTTGTAAAAAAAATAAAAGTGCGCAAAACAAATAATATAGATACTTTCTAAAGTTAGTGTAGTAATCCTTCCATAAATCAATGGTCAAGTATCCTTCTTTTTTTTTTTTGAACATCAGTCGAGTATTCTTCAAGAAAGCTCCAACACGTCTTGCCTCATATCAATATGGCACCAACGGCTAGTTTATGTGTCCCAAATCCAAGAATCTCTATGTAAATTCTTGGATCTCATTCTTTTATTCAAAAATTTAATAATTTCAAAGAAATTTAAAAAATCATCTATTTTCTGCTTGTAGTTTTGTTTGGATTTAGCACATAGTACTTAGTGTGGATTCCCATTGCCTTTATCACAGATCATTTTCAAAACTTCAATCCATATCCATCTTCTGTATCATTTTTTGTATGGATAATCCTTGAAAGACCTTTTGGGTTAAAGATTTCTTCTAACTTGGTCTATCCCGTGAATCCATCGCTACCTTGTGTTTACATCACTTTATATATAATAATTAAGTCTCATCTTCTTTCAAATGTTTGATTCCTTAGTCATATATAATGGTTTGTGCTGGTTTATCAACAATTTATGATGAAATCACACAAAAAAAAAAATTATGATGAAATCGTTTGTGTTCTATTAATATCTTTTTAAAACTCAAATTGTTTTTCTTTCTTTTTGTGTATGGAATATGATATATTCTCTCAGTAGAATCAAAGTTATGGTAAGATGAATGTTTAATTACTGAATTCGACCGAGATACAAAGATTTCATTTGAAGCTTTGTAAACACTAAGAACAAAAATGAAAAAAAAAAGCACTCTATGCGAACAAGGATATGCAAAAAATGAAATTCAATCCTTTAAGAAGATACTATGATCTAGCTAGGTCGATATCTCAGTGCACCAACCTAAAATAGATTGTGAGAAAAACCCTTTCATTACAAGTCTTAGTTAAACCAACTCTCACCACTCATGACCGCGTCATAACGCCACCACCATCCCCACCCGAACGCAAACGCGAACCACGTCCACTCCTCTTCATAAGTTAACGTTTGCGGCCAATCCTCGACCAACCCTGAAAAGGGCATTTCCGTCTTTTCCTCCAAATTCTTCACCGCAACATCATCCTTCTTCTCCACTTTTTCCTTTTCAAGAACCCTAGCAACAACACTTTTTGGATCATCTAGCTTCTCTTCGTTCTTTCTCATCGACTTCATGATCATCATCGGTTTCTTATGTTTAGGAAGATATTTCATGCTCTCTTTGTGAACGTTCATTCGAGCTTTCGCGGTCATTCTCGCGTGTTTTGAATGATCCTTTCGAGTTTCCTCTCCTTTTCTTGATTTATTTCTCTCTTTGCCTTCATACACCGAGCTTACTCGAGCTTTCTTCATAGAATCCACGTGCATTCATCACATTTTAACACTAGTGTTTTATACTTTAGATAACTAAGGTAATACTCAAAAGTTATTTCCGTTTATAAAACGCGTAGTCAGCATCGATAGATTACTTGTTGTGCGTACACGTATGAGTCTTCAACGACTTTGCTTTTTTTTTTTTCAAAAGAGCTCAAAAACTATAATGGTGAGAGCAATGAATCGAACACAAAAAATAGAGAGAAATTAAAAGCATTAAAGAATCGAGCACAAATTTTCAACAGAAGAAAAAGAATCGAACACAAAAAAAGGAAACAAGGAAAGATAATAATTAAAGCTATTAGATGGAAAAGGGGATAAACGTGAAGTTTTGGTTATATAACGAAAGTTGGTCATTAAGAGAAAATCAAGCATTAATTAATGGTGCTCGAGCGTTTCTATTGTGTAATTAAATGTATCTCGTGTGCTTCTTTAGTTCTTTTGGGTATGTGACTATGTGTACACCCATGCATTCCATAATGTGGGGCCTACATTTAACAACGTAATACTTTTGTTTGACTTTTTTTTCATGAGAACTTAAGAATGGTTTCATTATCACAAAATGTTTATATGTTTAATTTAAGAATGATTCGCAAGAATAATACTCTTTACAAAAAGAATTTGACATCTATCATCAAAAATAGTCAACTGAGAAAATAACAGTAGTCCAAAGGTGGAAAATATCGAGAAAATCCTTGTACATGAGTCTGCAAAAACTGCATCTCTTTCTTCTATCACTAAAGGACAAAACAAATATCTATCTTTTAACAAAACAGATGACTATTATGACAACTAAAACAAATGACTATTTTTTTAATCTTTGTTAACAAATTAAATAATTACAACGACAATGTAGATGTTCAAGTAAATTTTGTTTTGAAGAATTAAAGCATCATAGTTATAGTCGTCTAAATGTGGATAACTAAATATATACACATAAGAAAATTTGATTTTCATAGTTATGTTAATGTAAGTGTTCGAATAGATGACTAATGACGAAATAGTAACCTCAATGTAGACGACTAATTCATTACCAAATCACTCACAATAAAAACACAAGAGAAAATTTTGAAATACTAAAATACCATAGTTATGTAGGTACTCAAATAGGTGACTACTGACAAAATAATCGTGTAAATGTAGAGGATTATAAATATATACACATAAGAAAGAAAATTTTTGAAGCACTAAAGCATCATAGTTATGTTAATGTAGGTGCACGAGTAGATGACCACTGAAGAAATAGTTGTCTAAATGTAGATGATTATAAATGTATACACAAAAAAAATCATAGTTATGTTAACGTAGGTACTCAAGTAGATCAGTACTAACGAAATAGACGTCTAAATGTAGACGACTAACTCATCACCATATCACTCATAATAAATACATAAGAAAGTAACCTGAAGCATTAAAGCACTAAAGTTATGTAGGTACTTGAGTAGGTAACTACCTACGAAATAGTCATGTAAATGTAGACGACTATAAATGTATACACATAAGGAAGAAATTTTTTGAAGCAATAAAGCATCATAGTTATGATAATGTAGGTGTTCAAGAAGATGATTACTGACGAAATAGTCGTCTAAATATAGATGAGTAATTCATCATCAAATCAATAAACACATAGAAAAATATTTAAAGCATTAAAATATCATAGTTATGTATGTTTTTGAGAAGGTGACTACTGACAAAATAATCGTATAAATGTAGACAACTTATTCATTATCAAAATCATTAACATTAAGTTTTTCTAGAAAAAAAAAAGAAAATAAAGAAGAGCAATAAAGTTTTTTTTTAAAAGAGAAAATGTGGAGAGAGAAGAGAGAAATTGAATGTGTAAATAAAAAAAAACAGAGAAAAAATAATTGATAGTCCCAGCTAGTAAAAAGGTTTTGGGTAATTTTTTAAGTAATAAACTGAATATTATAATACAGTAAAACCTCTATAAATTAATAATGTCGGGACCTAAATATTTTATTAATTTATCGTGATATTAATTTATTTATAAATTAATAATTATTAATTTATAAAAACAAATTTGCTTTCTGCTTATAATTTTCTAAAAATTTATTTGGAATAATGTTATATTTTAAAATTTTAACAAATTTTGTAATGTAAATTATGTTTAACAATCATAACTATCGCAATAAAATAGTTTTTAATATCATATTGGATTATCCATGTAAAAATATAAATGTTCATAAGTTTAAAATTTATAAAAAGACTATGGCTACTATCCGTATTATTGATGATAAAATTGAAGATTACACTACAATATATTTAAAAACATTTACAGATAAAAAAATCAATTATCACATTAAAAATTATCATAAATTTTGAATGTTTATCGTAAAACATCAATAGAAACTACTGATATAATAACTAAAGAAATAAGATCCATTGAGATTTCAACTTTAAGTAAAAAAACAAACACATTAGTCATATTTTAGAATACTATATTTACAAATATTTGTATAAATGTATAGAATTATTAATTTATGTTTTTGTTGGGACCATATATTTACATAGGGATTTCAAAAAAAATTATTATCTTATTATCTTATCGAATTTGATGGATTTTTACATTGGTCCGACTTGGGACCAGTAAAATTTATTAATTTATAGTGATTATTAATTTATCGAGTATTAATTTATAGAGATTTTACTGTAGTACTAATTTGAGCTCTGAATCATGTTTTCCATCTAATTTCTCTTAATTTAAAACACTGAGGATAACTTCTGGCCTATTCTCAATGCAGTTTATCAAGATATACATCTTCTCTCCCGAATCGACGATCATAAGGTAACGTTTTCTCCACATGCAAGTAATGGAGTGGCGGACAGATAGCTAAGGAGACTTTTTCATTTATGAATAATGTCCCTAAATTATATTCTATTTTGCCAAATTGGATCATTCCCTTTGTCTTTGTTGAGGAAGATAAGAACGCTTTGTAACTAAGATTTGGGTAATATGATTTGTTGAGCCAAAAAAAAATACACAGAGAATTAATGCAAAAATATCCTAGACCATTAGTTATCTCTTAACAAAACAGAGGATTACGTTTCGAAAAAAATAAAAGTAGAGAAATTATAGCTACAAGGGTCTCTATGAGTATGATAAGTACCTAACCTTGGCTGCACTATCCTTACATTTCCGAGCCAGCTGCTCGTTATTGAAGTTCGACATGGTTCCAAAGGACAAGTAAATCACTGAATCACATTTCTTGGAATCGAGCGAAGGTATTATCATATTATTATTCCAATTTTTGTAATTTCTGATTTAAATTAGGTCAAAAAGTCTTTTTACATATAAGAGAAGTGTACTTTTCAAAAAACATTAAAACAATGTAATTTTCAAATGATTAAGCGTTGCAGGGGTCTTTGTTCCACGAGTTTGAGGTCTACTAACAAGATCTCATTTACACTCACAAGGAATATAAGCTCTTCTTCGGCTGGGGCAAACCGAAAACACTTAAAAAGATAGGAATAGACAAAGATTGGAATAGCCATCTTAGAATAGAAATGGCTAGTAAGTTGAGTGTTGAAAAAGTTATGTATGTTGAATAAGTTAAGTTTGATAACTAAATTAAAATAATAACCATGAATAGGTTCATCAAGGTGTATCTATGTCTACTCCAAACCAAAAAAATCTAGATGCTTCTCCAAGAAAAAAAAAATGAAAGATGGAAGGTACAAAGATTGAGAAAAAGGGTAAAAAAAAACAGATCAAGAAAGATTTACATCGTCAAAGACAAGAACATTTCAATAGTAGTACGACGTCGTTAGTATGGTGAAAATATTGTCAGCTTTTGGCTATATTGGAAGAATAGGAGAAGTATCAAAGTCATTACCAAGGATTCCATTTGATGGATCTTCTGATTTCAGCGAAGAGTCTTTTTTGCTGCGTTCTAGAGATGTTGCCTCGAATATTCCAAACCCTAATACTAAGCAACAGACAATGAAACCTGGAAGAGAAAAATCCATCTCGTATGCAATCTCCATGACTATTATGCATGCACCTGCGACCATTAAATGCTTTGGGGAAGAAAACACCATATGCAACCTGCCAAAACAAACATATACATACAAATGTATATAAAATATTTGTTGCTTTTTGTACATGCAATGTAAAGATTGAAATAAAAGGGTAAAGTTTTAGGAAACCTCTCTTCTGCAATGTTGTCGACATAGAATATTAGGATGATCCCGAAAACAATGGTGCTAAGGAAAGCCCACGCAGAAAATGGCAACTCAGATGTTTTCCCAGAAGATGACCCCTGAAGTATAATTTGATGTTAGTGAACCAAACTGGCCTTGAATAATCAAGAAAAACGCCATCTTCGATACATTATATGTTCGCTTACTATGATAAGGTCCCACATGGCAACAGGAAACAAGAAACAGGTTGCAGAAGTAATGGTTATCGCATGAAGTCGTTTCTTCTGCTGGTTCTGTAAAAGAGGAGAATTTTTTGCTTGAATATGATGAAGCAGTTATGAGAGAAGAGAGAGAACTAGCGGAATCGAGGAAATCAGAGAGCAGTACCTTTAGAGAAACACGGCGTGCAATAACTCGCCTTAATGCTGATAAGATTCCAGCAAAAACGGGTATCATCATTCCCATCAGACCTAGTGCTTGTTCTGTTAGTACTTCTTCCTCTTTAATTTCAGTACTATCTTTTGATGGTTCTTTGTTGTTAAGGTAAACAAACCAACACGTACGCTATCCATAGATAGTTAAAATGAAACAAGATAAAGAGAGCGAGAGAAAAAAAAAACATGTAGACAAAAGAGAAGAACTTGTGTGAAAGGATATAAAAAGGGGAAAGAGTTGATGTCGCCCATCCTTGAGACAAGAAAAAAAGAGCTACCAGCATTGCGATAAGGCCACCTACCTGACATGATTTGGAAATATGAGAGGAATATTGTCGTAGGCTTCGAATAATCATCCTTATTGATATGTTAACAATATTGATCTTTCATATTCAACTCAACTCATATTATTGATTATAATGCAAGCAAATATAAGTACATAGATAAGCCAGGAGAAACATCATAAAAAGCTAAAAAATATTGCACAAGTTAAACCTCTAGATAGTTTGTCTGCGAGACTAGTGAGCTTATGCATGCCGAGGGTATAGACAACCTAGCACTACAGGTAAACAGCAAACCCTATGTAAACCGTGCTAGACAACTTTTGAATTACAAATAATTCAGATGATTACCTTCTTCCACACATGGCCTCTCCGTCCATATAATACTCCAGAAAGTACTCCAAGAACAGCACCAGAGTACTCTGACAAGATTGCTCTGCCAATAATATACAAAGAGAATAAGCAAGTAAAACCGAATTGCAGAAAGAATTGTAAGTCCACAATTTCCATGAGCATTGAACCAAACTGCCAAACTGGGACCATCTTGCTCAGAGGTAAACTTTTAACTACCCTAACTTGCAGAAGCCAAAATCTAGGGTAGATCCTAAGAAAGTAAGACAGATAAGAACAGAGGAGAATTTATGGTAGTATGAATGCTTAAGAACTAATAAATAATACCTAAGCGGTCCACAAGACTTAAGACCCTTTCCCCACAAGATGAAGTATAGAGCTGTGATGACTCCATTGATAAGAGAAGGTACAATCTGAATGATAAAAGCCGCCTCATAAATTAGTAGCTAAAACAGAAAAGGAATAATTTAGTCCAAAAATTTCCGTTTATACGTATCAGATTGGATATAACAAAGAGAACCTGTTGATTGGAAAGTGCCCTTCCTTTCCATGGTTTCTGAAGAATCAAGAAGATGATGGATGACGGCACCAAACAGCAGAATAGAAAGAGAACAACAGGCGCTCCTGTCTGATTCAAGTACCGGTACATAGAATAAACTGACCATATCCTAAAAAAGTTCCCGATGAGATGGATTATCTGGAAAGGGGTATGCCTGCAAACAAAGAGGGAAAAAACACATTACTACAAAAACTAAAATTCGATTCCAGATTACAAGAAAGCACTCAGTTCTTAGCCAATGGCCAAACAAGGGCAGACGAATGAAAACTACAAGAATGCTCAAAGTTATCCTTTCGAACAATCAAACGAGTTCCCACAACAGAACTCCAAACCCTTAGGATTAATGAATCTAGATAGATCAAAGAAAAAAGTAGAACTTTCTGTAACTAACTACTCGCAATGACCATAACATCCCAAATCAGAGACTAATTAAATTGCAATCTTGAACTTCTATTCACTAGATTCCATTGCATTGAATCAAAACACAGTGAACTAAGCTAGGGGATATAAAGACTAAAATCAGTGCTTTAACCTGATTATATTGCTGCATTAACTTCAATTAAATCGAGGAATTGTGATTTCCAATTCAGAGTGATGATAAAACAAAGAAAATAAATCCAAGCTACATTACACATTTCATCCCAATCTGAATCAATCTAAAAGCTACTAGCAAAATGGCCATCACATACCAAATCAGAAACTAATTAACTCGCAATCTTCAAATTTTCAACATACGAACCTTCTGTAATACGAAAAGAAACAGTTTCTTCTTATGGTTCTCTATTCACTAGATGCCATAGAACTGAATCGAAGATATAGTGAGCTAAAAGCTTAAGGTAGCGAGTTTGAGGACTCAAATCAATGCTTCAACCAAATTTTGTTTCTGTATCAACTTCAGGATAATCGAGTAAATGAGATTTCCAATTCAGAAGTAACATTTCAGTGCAATTTGAAACAATTCCATTGCAGCAAGTCGAAACTTCGTTTCGAAATTTTCATTTCTACACAATCAAATTAGCAAAGAAGAAAGCACACCCGAGAAACAGAGAAATCAAATCGAAACTTTAGATATGAAGCTACCTGAAATGTGGAGATCCTCGATCGTCGGAGATTTGCTTCGGGGACATCATTAGCCTAGCTTCCGAAAATTACGGGGTGCTTAAATCCAGTAGAAATTATAAAATACTGTTAAATCCAATATCCTCCCACTACGAACTCGAGCTCAGAATCTAAAGACGATGTAACTGAAGAAGACGAAATCGCGTCTAACTTGTGATCGAAGAAGAATCGTCGTCTTCTTCGTCGAGGAACCCAAGGTCCCGAAGCTGAAGTCGCGAGATCAAGAGAAACAGAATTTGATATTGGGCCTTCGTTTCGTAAAGCCCATTCAAAAGCAGCCGGATTCTAAAGCAAACCTTTGATTTTGAAACCGATCTAGAGATCCGGTTTAGTTTCGATTTGGGTTCTGTTTTTTGGTTTTCAATTTTAATTTTATCAACCGAAACCAAATAAAATTTTTAGCTTTGGTTTGATTTGAGTTTGATATAGTTTACATTTAGCTTGAAAGTGTATAATAATAACAAGGCATCCTCTTTTGAAAATAGTTCTAACCAATGTCTAGTCAAACCACATATCCAGTGTCGTGCCTAGATTTATAGAGGCCTAAGACAAACTTTATATTTTTGTATTTTTTTTTAGTTTAAACTTTTTTTAATAATTTTATGTATCATTATAAGCTAAATTCTATTTTAAAGTAAGAATTTAGTCATTTATTCCATTTATTCCATTTTATGTATGTATTGATATAATAATATAAGTATATAAATGTAAGTGTATGATATTTTGTTTAAAATCCTAAAATTTAATCATACAATCTACTTATCTTATATATAAAAGACGAAGAACTCTCTCTAGGAGAGTGACACGTCATCACCTTTGGAGACGACACGTGTCCAACCCAATAATTAAAAGCATGTGTCTTCTGTGAAGTTTTTATGACTTTTTACCTTTTCTCTTCTTGGTATAATATTACGTTTAATATAATCTCAGTTCATAAAGATAATTAAAACACGCAGAAAAACGCTCACCTTTCTTCACATTCTCTCTTCTTCACTTATCTCATTAATTCTGCGCCAAAAATAAAATTGTGAAGATCAATCATTGTTCAACTGATTAGTGAATCATCATCGTCTCGGGGAGCTTTCTCCAAGTAGAACCCTAAATCAATTCTCCAGATTTCAGTGCATTATGTGAGATAAGTGCGTCGAGGGAGACCTAGGTTTTTTCTGGGCTTATCATCGCCAACGAGGCGAGGTTTAAATTAGGAGGTGGTTGGCTTTTTCACTGGAATTTGATATTTTAAGATCTACATAATTCAACCCATGTATTTGATTTTATCTAATATTCATATATGGTGTTGCTATTGCTTATGCCTGATTTCATTTTACACCTTTTCAATTTCTTTTCAGGGTTGAAGGTGGCATTCCACCACTTGTTGAACTTTTAGATTTTTTGGATTTTAAAGTACACAGAGGGATGCTGCAGGGGGCTTGCGAACGGTTTCATTTAGAAATGATGAGAACAAAATTCAAGTATGTTTTGTTTTGTGAAGGCTTATAAGGGACATATTTCTTACGTAATAAGAAACTATGTAGATTCCGGAGTTGAAGGCTTTGTTCATGCTTTTATTGATGCTTTAGTAGGAAGATTCTTATGTGCATGGTGAAGCAGTTGGTTCTTTATCTTACTTTATATTGTTGGCAATTGGTTTGCTTTATTAAGTTCCTTCTAATCTACTATGGACTTTTCAGATTGGGGCAAGAGAGGTTATCCGTGCAGGTGCCTTAAAACCAGTAATTAGTCTACTGAGTTATGCTTATTTGTCTCCCACTCTACTTCTGCTGAAACAGTTGTCTACTCTTGAAAATATAAAATATGTTTTGTAACCGTTTGCTATGATATCTGCTACAGCTCCAATTGTTTGGAAACACATAGAGAAGCATCATTATTAATAGGTCAATTTGTTGCACATGTTTCAGATTGCAAGGTATGAAGCGTGTCTCTTTCTTGACATGTTGTACTATACTCTTAACATATGTTAACTCAAACTGATCAGGTTCTTTTGATAACATAAATAGATGATGGATTCAAACCAGAGAGAACATATTCAACATATCTGGCAACATAATCAGGCAGGTGCACAACTGCACATTGCCCAAAGAGGTGCCATCACACCACTGATTAAGATGCTTGAGTCGTGGAAATGTCAGCTTCTGCTCTTGGTCATTTGGCTCTCTGTAATTTTTTAAAAATTTTACCATAACTTTCCTTGATTTGTCTTCACATGTTTTGTATGTTTTTTATTTACAGATGTATCAGTGATGTTAAGTATCAGCAAAGCTAACGCTTGCCTAAGAGAAGACAAAATCAAATGAGTGTTCCCTCTATTGATGCATAAGATTAAACTCAGAGGGTTGAGAATGGATACTCGAGTGAGAAATGAAATGGTGAGGAAGGGAGTGAGAGTTTTGACTTCCATGAGTAATCAAAGCTTTTTGCATATTCAATTCTGGAATTTACTAACTTTTACCCATAGGGTATTCATGCAAATAATATATAATTTGGTGTTGAATAAGACTTCTCCTCACCTGGTGCATTACTGATGATAACAATAAAGGTACTCCACGTTAACTTAGATAAATGAACGACGAGGAATGGAACATAAGAACCATAGAATTCAGATGTTGCTATGTTTTCTTCCATTTAAACTTAACGCCTACCAAGTAGAACCAACAGTTTAATAGAAAATAATTTAGTTATTATCTCCCAAGAAAAAAAGAGTTTAGTTTCTTTAATTAAAAATAAGAAGCACAAAATGGAGGTCAAAACAAAAAAAAAAGATTACTTAAAAGGATTTTAAGTTTAGAGATTATAAAAACATATCAAACTAACACAAAATTTCTCAGGGAAGAAACAATTTAATCGAGAGATATGGTTTGCTTCCTATGTTTTGTTTCTTTGCTCTACATTCCTGAAACGACAAGTATCTATACAGGAGAATTATATTACACCAAAAACAACAGACAAACTATTTATCAGAAAGAGAGTTGTAAAGCCAAGAAAATTTTAGCCGATCAAAGAAATAAAAAATAAAATAAAGTAATAGAAGAGACGATTTGGAGAGTATTTGAATGAATCTGAAATTATATATTTTACCAAGACAACAATTGATTTGGGTTTAGGTTCTTAAAAACACCACTTATACGAAATGTTGTCATTCAAATTCAAATTTATTTAAAATTCATAGACTATTAAAAACTTACTCAGTTAAATCAACAAATATACAATAAATCAATTTGAGATAACATTTTTATATTATAAAAGTATAAAAGAATACAACCTACTTGCAATCAAATAAGAACAAAACAAAGAATAAAAGAGACCAACTCAAAAACCAAATATCATAAAATTATTTATAATACATCATTTTATACACTATTAAACTAATACTAAGTTAAATCATCAAGAATACGATAAACCAGTTCAAGATAACAATTTTATTTTATAAATTATAAGAGAATACAACCTACTTGCAATCAAATAAGAACAAAAACAAAGAATAAAAGAGCCGAACTCAAAAACCAAATATCAAGAAATCTAAAATTATATATAACACAACATTACATAGACGATTCGACCAAAAATCATAGTACTTATAAAAATATCATAATTGCAAATAATATCTCATTTAAAGATAATGCTACAAAATAAATTGTAAAATGACTAAAAAAATAAATAAAAACTTATAAAAAATAACGTAAACTACCTGCGCTTTGCGCGGGTATTCATCTAGTAATGGTTAAAATCACATATAAAAGTTAATTCAACCTACTAATTAAACTACTTGTTACAAAGATGTGGCCCATAATTTTTGAAATTTTATTAGTGGCCTAAGGCAAATGCCTTTTGTGAATAAGGGAAGGCACATCTCTGATCAAAGCCAATTTCATATGTAAACTTCAAAGTGGAACTCCTCTCATCTCATCTGGTGACAATACTTCAAACTGCAAGTATGAGTGCTGGAATAAATCATCTCTAGTGACACTGATGTCGAATGATGTGTGATGTCGCAGAGATAGTTAAATCAAACTTGGCCACTATAACATGAACCACATGACTTCTTCTCCAAAATGTCTATACTGAAGTTGATGATTTGACTAAGAAGGTTCTTATGTTTTTGGGAAAACTTACTTCTAACTTCCAAACTAACTCTTAAGAAAATTTCAGCAAACTCATGGATTATTTGGGCAAAATTAGTTCAATATATCGAATATTCTTCACGATATTTCAGAGTCTTCATTTTCTTTTGCAATGACTCCAACACAAAAATCAACGAAAAACTTATTTTGCATTGTATATTTAGATTATTTTCATAATAATTCCATCATTTATATGAAATTAATCCATAATTCTATAATTGATAATTTGATTAAGAAAGTTCTTATGTTTTTGGGAGTACTTACCCCTTACATCCGAACTAATTCTTAAGAGAATTTCACCAAGCACATGGAAGACTTGGGCGAAATTAGATCATAATCTTAAACATTCTTTACAATACTTCAGGGTCTTCATTTTCTTTTGTGATGGTTCCAACACAAAAAAAAACAACGAAAGTTTTGTTTTGCATGATATATTTAAATTAATTTGATAATAATTTCATATTTTAAATGAAAATTTAAGAATTAATTTAACCTACATGATAACGAGGATTTAGTTTTTTTTTTTAAATGAACATATCTTATTATATAATTATAAAATTTTAAATAAAATTAGTTCTAAATATAACTATAAATTAATTAAAAATTTGTTAAAATCTGATCGTTTATCTTGACATGTGTTATGATTTTGAGAATTGTTAACTTTGAATCATTCTCCTTTATATAATAAAAAAAAAATTAATGCTGAAAACTAAGTAATACGATCATATCTATTTTTGAATTTCTTAAGAAAAAAATGTACGACTATTTATATCTGTTAACACCCAATATCAGATCATTTCGGTTTATTTTGTTATTGATCAGGTATAAATATTTTGGTTTGTTTCGGTTCGGTTCGATCTTTTAGAGTAGTGGTTTTTTTCATCTTGCAATTATCCGAAAAAGGCGAGGGTAAAACAGTAAACGACAAAAGAAGTTCGGTGAGGATAGTTCTTGTCTTCTTGAGAGCTCTCTCCGGAGAAGCTCGACCTTCACGCGAATGGCTTCGTCTTCTCTTGTCTCATTGCCATGCCTTTCCTCACTGAAAATGACATTCAAGCCCATGGCAGTTAACAGCAATTCTTCTAGAACGTCGGTTCCGTACGAGCTGAAGAAGGGCCAAAACCGTCTTTTCCACAAGCTTCCTTCTGGTCTGAAAATGGAGGTAATCGAGCAAAGGAAAGATGAAGACGAAAGACAAAGAAATAGCGAAAAAGATAATCCACCATTGGTGTTTGTACATGGAAGCTACCACGCAGCTTGGTGTTGGGCTGAACATTGGTTACCTTTCTTCTCTTCTTCTGGATTTGATTCTTATGCTATTAGCTTATTAGGTCAGGTAAAGCTCTTTTCTTATTTACAACTCTCAAATAATGAAACTTTCTTCTTTCTTATGCTGAATGTTTAGAAATTTCCTAAGCACTACCTGCAAATTGATGTGGTGAAATCTGGTTTTCATGATTAGGACTTAGGAGCATCTATTTGTTAATATATCTACACATTGATTTGGTTAAGTCTGTTCTTTTTTATGTGAGTTGTGTAGTTGTGATAGAAATGTTTAGACTTTAGCATTGTTAACGGTATATTGATACTGTCAAGAGCATCAATCTGCAAATGTTTTGAATTAAAGTGATCTGTGATCTTTAAATTCTTTAGGGTGAAAGTGATGAACCTTTGGGAACAGTTGCTGGAACTCTTCAGGTACTTGAATTTCGATTAATCATTGCAATTTGCATTGTCTTTCTTGGATTTTAGCCAAGATCCTTAAAGTCTTTAGTTGTTTTGTGTAGTAGACGCACGCAAGTGATATCGTGGATTTCATCGAATCGAATCTAAGCTCTTCGCCTCCTGTTCTTATCGGTCATTCTTTTGGAGGGCTAGTTGTTCAATATTACTTGGCAAATGTCATAAACAAACAGTCTTTAGGTAAAGGCTAATTCATTGAATGAGTACCGTTTTCAAATCAGCCTACACAATAACCAGTGAGTGTGTTCTTTTGACTTAGGAACCACAAATGCATTTCCAGAACTTTCAGGAGCTGTACTGGTTTGCTCGGTTCCACCTTCGGGTAATAGGTAACTTATTACAACCTATTGGCTCTTTCCTATACCATAGAAGTTTTCTTCTTGTTTAGCTCATATATATAACTTTTGGGACTCTCTCTTTCTTGTTCAGCGGGTTAGTGTTACGTTATCTCTTCTCTAAACCAGTAGCAGCTTTTAAGGTAAACTCTATTTTCCTGTCTTTTGATCTTGTAAGGATGGTTTCTGTAATTCTGTGTCATGTTCTTGATTCTTGGTTGTGTTCTTGAACAGGTCACTCTCAGTTTAGCTGCTAAGCGTTTTCAGACATCTATTCCTCTTTGCCGGGAAACATTCTTCTCTTCAGCCATGGATGATCAACTTGTGAAGCGGTAAAACCTATACTATAAATCAATAGCATTTAAATCAAAGTTTCAATAGTCTAAATGAATTGTTCCTCTCTCTTTCTTTTTATTTTAGTTACCAAGATTTAATGAGAGAAAGTTCTCGAATGCCACTGTTTGATCTGAGGAAGCTAAACGCATCACTTCCAGTATCAAAACCAATGGAAAATTCTACAAAAGTTCTTGTTTTAGGTGCCAAAGATGATTTCATAGTGGTAAGTTTTCTAACCGAACCAGAAAGTTTGAATCTTAGTACTTGCATTAAACCGGAGTGGGTTACGGTTTTACAGGACGATGAAGGTCTGAAGGAAACCGGGCGGTTTTATGATGTTGAACCGGTTTGTATTGAAGGTGTTGCTCATGACATGATGCTAGATTGTTCATGGGAAAAAGGTGCAGAAGCTCTTTTGTATTGGCTTTGTGGTTTGTCTAAAACCGGGAAATTTATCTGCTTAATAGACTAGAGTTTTGTAGCATAGACTCACTAAAATCAAATATAAACCAAACTTTAGCCGAACATTTGACAATAATCACTCCTTCATTTAATTCCCTTAATGCATAATCCTCGAATATAAAAAAGGAGTGTTTTTTCTATCCCCACCAATATTTTCTTGAGAAAATTAGTAACAATGCCGGAAAATGCAAATCACAGTCCAAGAATCTCATTTTCAGACGACTTTTGCTACACTGGCTCCATACCAATCGAGCAAAGCCCATTAAGACCTCCGTCGGAATATTCCAGCTTGAATTTCGATTTCTCAATTCCCGGCGGCGTAATCTCCGGCGAGAGCTCGTGGTCCGCCGAAGAATTTTTCAACGACGGCATGATCCTCCCCACAGAAATCAAAAAGTGTCCAGAACCGGGGAAAGATAAAACCAGTTTACTCAAACCGGAGATGAATCCAATCGGAGCTGTTAAACCGGTTCATGAAATAGAAGAAATCGATGAATACGAAGAAGTAGCGGTGATCGAAGAGAGACCCAATGGACAGACGTTTATGGGGTTTAAGAAAATCAAAAAGAGACGCGAACTGGGGATATATGAAACCGGTTTGATCAAACCGGATACGAATCCAATCGGAGATGTTAAACCGGTTGTGGAAATCGAAGAAATCGAGGAAGATGAAGTAGCAAAGGTGACAGAAGAGAAACCCAATACATTATCGTTTTGGGGGTTTAACAAAAGAAGCAACAGTCTCAAATCCGAGTTTGGTTTGCCTTTGCTTTCGAAAAACCCGACCGGTTCGAATTCTAAACAGACAGAAACTAAGAAGCTTCAGGTTTCGTCGTCTCTTTCTTCTTTTTCTTCGTCTTCTTCTTCTTCAAACTGTAGTTTTCAGCAGCAGCCATTGAAGGAGAAGAACTATAGAGGTTACAATTACGGTGGCAATGGAGGAGGGATTAGGGTGAATTCGATTCTTGATATGATTCCGTCGGGGAGTTTGTTTGGTTTGAGATCGATAATTCTCGGTAGTGGAAGTGAAACAAGAAGAGTTCAATGATTTTTTATTGGTAAGAAAAAAAAAAAATCTTTCGCTGTTTCTCTGTTTTTTTTCTCTGAACCTCTCTAAGTTTCGAGTCTTGAGTTTGTTTATTTATTTCCAGATTTTTAAAAATTTAATATTGTAGATTACTGTGTTGAATTGATTAAACAATTATTTGTGTTGTAGATTTGCAACTTGTATCGTCACTGAAACTTTATGCCAAAATGTAACTAAACCAACACTTATTAATCGATTTAACCAAAACGTCCTTTACTTTACGCCAAAAACAACGAACGAACAGAGCTTTCAAATATGTTTTCTTTATTGATGATCGCAATTGCTAGAGTAAGAGCCGAACTTCCACGTAAAGTAACAACCAATGTATTTGCATCAAAATGTTTCATTGACTATACTAAGAAATCCGGTTGCAATGTTATTACAAAATGATGATAAATTAGTTATTGAAGACGACTAGAAAATGTTAGCAACCAAAAAAAGATAATTAGAAAGTTAGACAAGTCAAGTGACAATTAACCAATTTCATTTCATGCTTGTCCTATTCTGTTTTTAATTTTATTATTTCTTCCCATCTTTTTTAGGTGTCCTTTATTTTTTCTCATAAATCTCAGATGTGTCTTTTCATTTGAAACTGGGAAGGGAAATGAATAAAAAAAGATTAAAAAAGATACAGTAAAAATTTAAGGATTTTTGTTAAAAATAAACTAAAACTTGATTTTGAATACAAAAGTAGACTTCTGAAAAAATATTTGGCAGAAATAATCTTAAAAAGTAGTGAAAAGATCATTTAATCCTGTATGAGTAAACAAAAAACGGATGTCTTAATTACCGTTTACACTCTCACAAAATCTACTAAAGAGAGAAAGAAATCTTATAGTAGAATTCGTTTATCAAAATGAAGTCTACTAAGTAATTAAATCTAGAAATTTAATTTTAAAATTTAGAAAAAATTATTTTGGTATCAAAATTACATTCATAAATTCTGTAATTATAACCCAAATGTATATAAATTATTTTTTCATATTGATAAATGGAAATTTATGTTTTTAAATTAAGAAGAAAAAAATTTATTATTTAGGATTTAAACTTAGTAGACTTCAATATGGAAGTCTGCTAAACCGAAAAAAAATAATTTAACCAAAAATTGAACCGAAAGAAAAAAATTTAACCGAATTTTTTATGCCATTATATAAACAAAGTAACCCTAATTTTGAAAAAAAAAATGAAACCTTCTTCTTTCTATAACGGCGTTATGCTCCACTCTCTCTGGCCTTTCTCCGCTGCTTTTCTTGTTCGTCTCTGCTGCTGCGTCTACTTCTCTGCAAGCTCATCCTCAAAAAGTGGTCTCTCTCTATTTCTCCCTTTCACCTGAAATCTCGAATCTCTTTTTTTTTTTTCTTTTTCTCGCTTCTGTTTTTCATTTCTCAGGTGAAAGCTCTCGCTCTAACGGCGTTTGGTGTCGGTCCCTGTTCTCCTTAGCGGCTTTGATTCTCCGGTGACTCAAGGTGGATGCTCTATGCGGAACCCGATCTGGTGAGGACAAGATCTGGCGACGCTTCCTCAAGAGTTTGAAGCTGGCGGTTTCATGGCGGCTCCTCCGTCTTGGGTATTTCTCAGATCTGGCTGGCGTTCGGGTGTGTGGATGTAGGTCGGCGGTTGTGTGAGGCGGTGAGGAGGAGTTTTGGTATGCTTGAACTGTCGGTGACCTTCGAGTAAGCCTGCTGCTTGTGGGCGGTGGTGGGTCGTGAAAGGGGTCTCGGCGGCGGCTGACTACGGCGACAGATGGCTTTTTTAGGTGTGAGGCGTGGTTCGATCTTTTCTCCCACTCTCGTTCTGTTCGAGCTTGTTCCGGATCGGCGCCCTTCTCTCCAAATCCCCTCTTTTTCCTTTCTCCGGTTAGCTTCTCCGGTCGTGACGTTTCAGCGAGGATCCCGGTGGCGTGGTTGCTCTTTTCTCCCACTCTGGTTCTTTCCTCCAGTTTCTGGTGTGCTCAGGTCGGTGGCTCTCTTCTCGGCGGCATGTGGCTTTGTAGGCTGCGAGACTAGGGTTTCCTGTCTCTCAGTTTGTTTTTCCGTTTTGGGCTTTCTCCTGGCCTGGCCCATTAGTGGTTCTCGGGTTGGGCTTTTTTCTTTTTTTTTTCCTTTTGTTGTTTCTTTATCCTTTTTTTATTGCATCTTTTGTATATGTACCAAAAAAAAAAATCCTAAAAATTTCAATATGAAAACCTTTAAAAAAAAAAAAAGACAGTTTCGGCTGGGACCAAGTTTTTTCCAGCTGTTTCTATTTAACTTTTACACAAAACATAGAATTTTGCTTTTATCAGATTGTTCTTCTGGTAAATCTTTGTACCCGAAGGAAGCTACCTGATGTTAATGATGACCAGCGTATGAATAAAATAGTAATAGATGCTACGTTGGAAATTTTTGTAAGTTATAATTATAATACATAAACATATTAAACTCATAAGTAATTTTGTAAAAAAACATAAAAATCACATTAGCAAACGTAATTACAAAGCACAATATTGCAAACACATAAATATCAAAAAAATTTACACAGGACACTTCGTTAGAACACTTCGTTTGAAGACTTCGTAGACTCCAAATGAAGTCTACTTTTATAAGCTAGTTAGCTTATAAATCAAAATATTCGATTCCACAATAGATATCGACTTAAATCAAATGAAAATCATTGAGTAGTTCAACCACTTGCTAACACGTATGTCAAAACCTAAAAATTAAAACAAAACATTATAAATATTTAAGATATGTTTTTAAAATAAATACAAAAAGTAGACTTCCTAATTAGACTTCTTTAGTAGACTTCAGGAGAAGTCTACTGAAGTCTATTTTGATAAGCTAAGTAGCTTAAAAATCAAAACTTCTGATTCAACAATAAATATCGAATGAAATGAAATGAAATTCACTGGGTATTTCAATCACTTCATAAAAAGCATTTCTAATCCAAAATTTTTTTTTAAAAAAATACTTTATAAATTTGCCTAAAACGCGTTTTTATAAAAAAACTGCAATAAGTAGACTTCTAAAGCAGACTTCAAACGTAGACTGAAGGAGAAGTCTATTTTTTCATAGTGAAGTCTACTAAAGAAGTCTACTAAAAAACAAGTTATTTTTGCAATTGACCAATCCGTTGACTTTTTCTTCAGTAAACTTCAGAAGTAGACTTCCGGCCAAAAATGTTACTTTAGCATTTGACCAAGCCATTGACTAACAAAGTAGACTTCTATTGTAGACTTCATGTAAGAGTAGACTTCTCTGACAGTCTACTTTTGAAGTCTACTTTTTCAATAGAAGTCTACGAAAAAAATAGGTTATTTTTGCAATTGACTATCTTTAGTAGACTTCACTGTGAAGTCTACTCAAAAAAAGATTTCTTCTAAGTTTGACCGAAAAATATAAGTAGACTTCCCAAAGAAGTCTACAGTTTTTAGACTTCTTTCTCAAGTCTACTGCAGCTTTCCGGAGTTTTCTGAATTTTTTTATTTTTTAAAAAACTTTAGTCAAACACTAAAATGACCTATACGTTTTTGGTCAAACTACAAAAGTAACTTAAAAGTAGACTTCTTGTGCAGACGTACACAGTAGACTTTAGAAAGAAGTCTACATTAAAAAGTCAAAATACGGTCAACTACAAAAATAACCTCTTTTCTTTCGTAGACTTCTTAAGCCTTCAAATGAAGTCTACTATGCTTTTTTTGTTTTCAAAGGATATCGAGTAGACTTCTCGTGAGGTTTAATGAAGTCTACTTTTAAAAAGTCAATTGCAAAAATAACCTTATGTTGACTAGTAGACTTCAGTATACTTCACGAGAAATCTACTTTCGCGATATGAAAACTGAAATATGGAGAAATTGAAGTGCGACGATTACCTTTTACAAAATTGAGCTCGGCTACAGTTCTTTTAAGCACCCAGAACTCAGGATTTCACCAAAAATAAGCAACCCAGATGTCAAGTAACCAGAAATCACCGAAAATGCATGACTTTTGGCATTGTAACTTAGCTCAGATGTTTTGGAGAAGAAATTATGAAAGAATGAGGAAGGTTATGAGTGAATGAGCTCAAATATTTACTTATTACAGCTTTAAAATTGGTTGAGAAGCATTTATTCTATTTTCATGGTTGTTCATGGTGGTTGAAGAAATTGAAGAAGATGGCATTCTCGTAATTAAAAGGTCTTTAGAAGGTCCAAGGAGACTTTAGCCAAATTAAAGAAAAATTGAAATAATAGATGTATAATAGCATTTTCGTTAATAGTTTAAGTGGGAAGGATAAAATTGTGAGAAAATGGCAAAAGTTGGAGAGAGAAAAAAAAAGAGGTTAGTTTGGTGTTTAACTTTGAAATATGGATTAAATCTGAAACCCTCCCAAAAATTTAACCAAAAGGGGATTTATTTGAAGCTTGGTTTCTAATTAACGAGACGTGTACACAATCATCGGAACGTCTACTATGTGCCAGAAGCGGCAATTGTGCATTCTTTGACCGAAAGGATCATGTAAAACTAAAATCATATATAAGTGAACAACAGTAAAATCCATATTTGAACCATAGTTTTTTTTTGTGGCATAAAGTTTTATTGTTGTTGTAAAAGAGAAATCATTAATTTGTTCTTCAAACTTCAATTATATTTTCTTAATCATAAAATTACTTTTTGGTATCAGAGAACTTGTTCATGCAGATGATGTGGAAAAGGTATTAGCAATCAAGCTCTGCCCAAATGCTAAAACAGACCTTCTCGGATGGCATTACTATGATGATGGGATATACACAGTAAAGTCGGGTTACTGGTTGGCTACTCATTTACCATCTAATCCACTCATAGCCTCACCGCCTGGGGGTCTATATCTAAAGAATCTCTTATGGAGGCTGAAAACAGCACCAAACTTCAACATTTCCTATGGAAGATTGATGCAGAGATATTGCATATTGGGGAAACGTTAAGAAGACGTCATATAAGTCAAAATTCCCAATGTAAAAGATG